CTTTCCCTTGGTGTCAATGGTGTATTAAGGTCTCCTGTTATAATTCTGTTATTGCTAATTTGTTTTTTCATTTCTGTTAATACTTGTTTTATATAGCTGGGTGCTCCGGAATTTGGTGATTGTATGTTTAAGATTGTTATCTCTTCCTCTTGAAGTTGTCCCCTAACTAGCATGTGGTGACCTTCTTTATCTCTTTGGATCATTCTTGGTTTGAAGCTCACATTGTCTGCCAACAGAATAGCTACCCCTGCTTTTTTGCAGTTTCCTGTTGCATGAAGAATTGTTTTCTATCCTTTGACTTTCAATGTATGAGTTTCCTTTTGGGTTATATGGGTTTCTTGTATACAGCATATGGTTGGATGTTGTTTCTTGATCCATTCTGCCAGTCTGCTTTTATAATTGGTGAATTGAGGCCATTTACATTAATGGTTACAGTTGTTATATATTGGTTTATTTTTGACATGTTATCCTTCTGCTGTTGCATCTTTACCTTTCCCCTGTGTTTGTCTGCCTTGCTTAGTGGTTTTTTCCTATATCTGTTTAAAATGTCTTTCAGTTTTCTTTGTGGGGTTGGTTTGGTGATCATGAAGTTCTTCAGCTGTTCTTTATTATGGAAGAATCTTATTTCTCCATCCATTTTGAAGGACAGTTTTGCAGGGTACATCAGTCTGGGTTGGAAGTTGTTTTCCTTTAGGATATGAAATACTTTACAACATGCTCTTCTTGACTTCATTTTTTGCATTGAGAAATCTGCTGTGATTCTGATAGGTTTTCCTTTATAGGTGATCTCTAACAGCTTTTAATATTCTGTTCTTAATATATTTTCTCTCTAACAGCTTTTAATATTCTGTTCTTATGTTGGATTTCTGGGATGGTGCTTATTATGTGTCTGGGTGTAGTTTTATTTTGGTTATGGCTATTTGAAGTTTGATATGCTTCATTGATCTTTATGTCAGTTTCCATTCTCGTGTTTGGGAAATTTTCAGGTATTACTTCTGTGAATAGCCTCTTGATCTCATTTGAGTTGTCTTCTTCTTTTTCATTTATCCCTATCAATCTTATGTTGTTTTTCTTTGTGCTGTCTTGCACTGTTGAATTATTAGTTCCTGATTCCTTGTTACTTTTGAAAGATCTTTCCTTTCTTGTTCACTAGCTACAGTCTTGTCTTTGAGGTCTGAAATTCTGTCTTCACTTTTGTTGAGGTGGTTTTGCCAACTTTCAATGGAATTTTTGATTTCCTGTATTTTCTGTTTCTTATATTGTTCATTCAGGGTTTCTATTTTTTTGCATTGTTTCTCTGATGTTTTAATTATGTCTTCAGATGTGTTCAGCAGTTCTTTAATTATGTTTATCATTTCTTCTGTTACATGGGAGATTATTTCTGATTTGAGTTCTTTTATAGCTTCCTGGAGTTGTTTTTTTATTTCAGTTGATATCATTTCAGGCATTTCAGGTGTATGGCTTATATTTTCTTCTATGTACATGTCTCCTAGGCTTTCTTGGGTGGACTGGAGTTTGAGATTGCATTTTGGTCTTCATCTTGTCAGTTTCCTATATTTCTGGGTTTCGAGCAATGTTCCAATGCTTCCTCTGGGTGTGTTGGAAATCACCTCATGTGCCCTTGGCTCCTGGAATTCAGGCGGCCTCAGCTTTCCGGATTGAAAGAAGGTTGGTAGGCATTGTCTAGTCAGGCCAGCAGAACCTCAGGTGCCACCTCTGGGTTCAGAAAGTTGGGCGGGCTCCAGATAGCCGCTAGGAGCAAACAATCAATGCTTTTTGTTAAAATTTTTTTCTACATGAAGTCTAAGAGAATCACTTACATTTTTTGCTGTAAGCTTTAATGAGATTCCATGAATGCATGCATCTTCTTTAGTCCTCTACTCTAGTTCATTGGGTTTTGTTGTTTTGTTTTGTTTCTGTTTTTTTTTTTTTTTAAAGACAGGGTCTTGTTATGTAGTTTAGGCTGACTTGAACTCACTGTGTAGCCTAAGCTGGTCTCAAACTCCTCTTGCCTCAGCTTCTAGAGTGCTGGGATCACAGGTATATACCACCATGCCTGGTTTGTTCATTGATTTTTATCCATCACTATGACAATGACATTAAGAAGTCCTAACTTCTCAGAAGTATCATAATTACTCTTGACCCTTTACACAAATGCTCTTCTTTGAATTATTATTAAGGTATAACACACCTACAAATACACAAACCATAAAAATATGCAGGTAAGTATATTTCATAAAGTAAACACAGAGATTTAACCACAGTACCAAAATCAACATATGGAACATTATCACCCCAGAAACCTTCAATGACCTCCTTCCAGTTTCTTTTTTCTGTACCGCCCACAGAAACAACCAATCCCATCTGCTAACACCATAGGATTATTTAGTGTGTTTGAACTATATACATACATTCCTTATATGAGCTACTCTATAGAGCTAATTTTACATCCACATCATGTCTGTGAGCTTTATCTATATAGTTGCAGCTATGCATTCTCCTTGCTATTTTCTGTACCCTTCATGAGTACCTTCCCCAGGTTCCTGTTAACTCAATTTATTGGTTTATTCTCAGTTTGGGGCTATTTGGATAGCACTAGTTTGTTTCCTACTAATCTCCAAGCCCTTGCCTCAGCTGGCTCCTACTCATTTTACTGTTTAAGAGCTTGCATTTTAAAAAACCTAAGAATGTCCTGTCCCTTTTGTGAAGTGATTTTATAATACCCGATCTACCAAATTTTTCTCTATCAGGATGTCTAACCTTGTAGCCCGTGCCTTAATTTAAGTTCTTAAATGCATTTCTTGAAAGATTTTTGGAAATACAAGGTTTGAGAAATAATTACTATTTAGTAGGTCTAACTGTCTGTCAAGAAGGAATTTTAGTAGTTTTTCCTAAACATTTAAACACTGTGTTCCCTTGTAGTCATATGCAGGGGAAAGTGGAAGAAGATGGCTTCCAAGAGTTTATTCACATCTAAGAGGTGACTGGCATAACCACCTGCCATTCAGTTACTTTTCTACAAGCCATATATATAGTATGAATTGTTGGAGAAAGTTAACAGGGTTGTTAGTGACCTACATACTTCTGCTCTTAACTGGTTCCAGTTTATGGTATTTAGTAGTTGGAAGAAATTGAAGCAGAGTATGTATTAATACTTTAGTCTATTTTAATGCTGTCAAATGACTAAGTAATGAATATGTGTTGATAAATTCTTCTCAACCCATTTTCAGATTAGGACTTCTGGAAATCAAAAGGCACTGTGATTTAATGGTAGTTCAAAAATGCATCATTTTCTTACTGATGGGATAAGACGTGAATATGCTAAATCATCAACTGTTAAAGTAGAAAGCAAAATCCAAAGCAAACAACTAAGACTTTAGTACTTAGAAGAAACTTAAATAGTAATTGCAGAATAGCTTCAGTTATTCATGAGTAGAAATAATTTTAAGATTTTGCTGGACGTCTTGATTTAGGTATATAATCAGACATCTTCGTCATTTGCCTCTTTGAAGAAAAACTGACCATCAGAGTAGAAATTATGCTCATTAAAAAGACATTATTACATAAATTTTGGAGCTAACTATATCAGAACTCACTGGAAATATTCAATTATGTGGTCAAACAAGGATCAATATTGGAGGCCAGTGGCCTTTATGGAATAATTGTTAGGAGACCACCCTCATGAAATCTTAGCTACCTGGGTTCAAAGTTGAAATGTGCCAGGACTGATATATTCACAGTTCTTGGAAACAACTCTGCCTGGTAAACATCTGCATTCTTGTTAATGGGATCGAAATATAACAGTGACAAGCAGTTTCCTGCAGACCTCCAGATAGGCTTTGGGTCATCTAACTCATTACTTAGATTCCTTTATTTGTGTTTTTAAAAATCTTCTCTCTCTAGTAAGGCTTAAAACTTGAAAAAAAATTAACACACATTTTTTGTAAAGAAAAATTGACATATACAATTTAAAAAGTGGTTATTCTTTCCTGATCCCTGTTGTATTCCTACATTACTTTTGGTGGTTCTGGTTCCAAACTTTTACTTGCCTATGAATTCTAGGTTTGAAACTTCCTGAAGGGACAATTTCTTATTTAGTTTTGTAACCCTTCTGACTAGGATAATGCTTTATACAAACAGGTTCATGGTACATTATACTTATTGTCTAATGATTGACTTAATAGGGATTGAAATAAAAGAGTACCTGAATGAAAGCCCGGAGACGTGCGAGAAACCAAAAGCCTTGTTTTCAGAATTGAAAGACTGCTAATCACCTTTGGACATACGGACAGCTATTTTTCTATTTTTCACCTTCCTCCTAAATTCAGAGTTGGAAGAGATAAACAAATCTTTGAGAAAAAGACAAGGACTATTTCCTTTGCCCATTTTCTCCTTTATATTTACAAGAGGAGACTGAGAATGTTAGGAGAGGTGCAGTTGATATATTTGTTACTTTGTATTGCTGACTGTAAAGTTTTCTGTGCAGTATTTTAGTTGGTAATTTCTTTTACAGATGTTTTTGGTGAGAGTTGAAATATGCTGGCAAAATATTTAGACTCTGCGTTGCAATTTAAACATACTGCATTTTATTTCCTTAAGCACAAAGACAGGCAACATTTCCCCTCTTCTCTCTTTCAAAAATAAGAAAAAGGAATGAAGAGAGCATGAAATGTCTTTTGTATTTGCACTGAAAAATTAGTTTTTGCTTTGGAAATAAAGGTAGTAAACATCATGTCTCGTTCCTAGTTAACCAGTAGTTACCTTTGAACATGAAGAGCAATAAATTTTGAAGACTCAAAAATATAGTTGTAGGTGTGACTCATTTTATTTCCCAAAGGTTTCATTTTTAATTTTATTTTATTGTTCTGTGACTCCATGACTAAACATTTATTGGTGGTTGCAAATTGAAGCAGTCTGGAGGTAATAAGCCGTTTGCTATTGCTGATGAATCACCTTGCACTTAAATTTTCCCAGTGAATCTGCAGTATGCTGTTCCAAGGACTTCTTTCTGAAGGGAAGACTTCTGGAAGGGCCTGTATTTCTTTGAGTTTTCATAATAGTGGAATGTGTTATGCCTAGTGAGCAGTTAAGAGTTTGGGCTGGAAGGTGTCCTGGATCTGCTGGTAACTAGCTCTGGAGTTGTCGGCAATTTACTTCATCTTCCTAAGCCTCAGTTTTTCTCACCTGTAAACTGAGAATAACGAAAATCACACCTAATCCAGAGACTCATGAGGATGAGACATCTGAAAAAGCTCTGAGTGTGACACTTAGAAATTACTCAGCAAAACATAGCTACTAATGAACTTTATGACTATTAGTAATAATACTGAATTTTCAAATGCTTTAACAGAAAAGTTTGCTTCCTATATCCAAACACATATCGTACACATTACCAGGATCTTTATTTATTAGCACGTATGATGTCTACTTTGATTGCTTCTCCTGGATTGTAAGCCTCCTGGTTGGAGACACCACTCCTATCTGTTAGCCTTTACATCCCCCAGTCATTATCAGGTCTTCAATAAAGATTTATTGAGTTGCACTAGGAAGGTATGGGCAGAGGGCTGGTCCAGCCCGCCCCAGTGAGGACCGTGAATCACAGCCGTCCTCACAGTTGTTGAATGTGGGTCAGGCTAGGGTTCGGCATTTCTCATTCCAGCTGGGAACTGGAGTTGCCAAAGTGCTAGTCCCAAAAGTCAGGGCCAGCCTGCTAGTCTCTGAATGAATTTGGAAAGTAGAGCAGATTTGGAAAACAGAAGCTAATTCATTTTACATAGTGGCCAGATTAGTTTCTCTTTATTTTTTTAAGGTAAATATTTTAAATTATACAGTGAGAACTTGAGATTCAGATCTGCAAAGTGCCAGAATCCAGGCTGAAGAAGCCAGCAGTGGGAATCTAACTAGGAATGGTAACATCAGCTAGGGAAGCACATGGGCCTGAGAGTCTCAGGACCTAACTAAGAAAAGCCTTGCAGGGCAGAGGTGGGAACAGTCAGCTCACCAGCTTCAGCTGTGGATGACTTCGGCACTACTGATCTTTCCAGCGAACTAGGGTGAAATCAAACTTAAGCAAGTGAAAAAATGCAAGCTTTTTGTACAGTTTCGTAAAGGACGAGTTGACAGATGCTGCTTGCTAAGCACAAGAAGGGTTTGTTGAAAGAAAAATCAACATCAAGTCCAACTCCACAGTTGTTTGTCTATCCTCTGATGGCCACATCTTTCTTTACCTCAGTTCATCTCTACTAGATCTTCCATATCTGTATTTTTCCAAACCTATCATGTACATTTCTAATTATTTCTCTTAAAATCACAGAGTTCTTGATACTTAATTTCCTCTAAGAAGAATTAGCAAGCAACACTTATCAAATAATGTGTATGGCCCCCATGATGTCTTTTGCTGAGTTTCTTAATAGGACCCTAGCAGATATCTATATTAATCTTCTATTATAGCATAACAAATTACTGCAAGTGTACTGGCTTTAAATATTACGTATCTACCATTTACTTTTCTGTAGGTATGGCTGTGTTCTCCACTCAGGTTTCCCTGTGACTGAAACCCAGGTATTAGCTGCAATTGGAGTTCACATTTGGGCTGAGAGTCTTATCCCAAGCTTATTGGTTATGGCCAGAATTCATTTCCTTCTAATACTTACTATTCATTAGATTTCTTTGTGTGTGTGTGTGTGTGTGTGTGTGTGTGTGTGTGTGTGTGTGTGTGAGAGAGAGAGAGAGAGAGAGAGAGAGAGAGGGAGAGAGAATGAATTAGGAAAAGACTGACTCACTTTAATTTTTTATTTTTCTTTTTTTATTTAAAAAACAAAAAAAATAATTGAACAGAATTTCAAAACAAAATAATAGACTAGTACTATTTAATATATTGCATATTATCTTCAAAGTAGTTGTTCAGATTACAAGATATAGGGATAAAAAATGAGTGTTTCTGTTTTAATACTTAGATTTTTGATCCATGTGGCGAGTGCATGGTGGTAGGCATGCGTCCAGTTTAAGTCTTTGACATGTGGAAAGCCAATGTTTCCATCACCATTTATTAAGCAGGCTATCTTTCTTCCAGTGAACGTGTATGTATGACTCACATGTATGTATGACCCCTTTGTATGACTCACTTTTAGTGGTAAGAAAGAGACATTTTAAAATGGAAAGTTTAAGAGATCTTTGCTTGTTACTATATGTTAAAACATTTTTAATTGTCAAGTGCTTTATAAACATTAGCTGGGGGTGTTGGTGGTATTGTGTAAATGTAGGGGAGCTAAATGCTATCTCTCAGCATTCCTCCTCTGTAGGAATTGTGTCTATTTCTTAAACTTTACCAGAATAGATGTCAGTAAATGCTAACAACCTTTTACAGCTATGTTCTGTGGAACTGGACCCCCAGATGTTTTTTTGAACAAAGCATTCCATGATAACCAAGTTTGAGAAATGCTGCATTTCATATTCCTGTTCCCTCCTTTGGGCCTCTGAAAAGCCATAGTGTACATGGCCATATGAAAAGTTCTTCAGTAAAGGACATGCATCAATTAGTAAACCAACATTTTCTTGACCGAATGTGCTATGGGCAGTGCTGATTTATGCCCCACTCTCTCTCCCTGCATTAATCAGATTAAGCAGAGGTGATCAGGTCATGTACTAAGTTGGATGATGATGAAAAGACACAAGGTATCATATTTGGTGACTGAGAACAAATCCTCTAACTTGTCTAGGATGCTAGTACCCCCTTAGTAAAATGAAGATGGGGAATTAATTACACTTAAACCCTGAATTTTAATGAGATTCTATCATTTACTTTACGATAAAAAAGGAAAGTTTTTTTATAAATAAAATTTTTCTAGAAATGAAATAATAATTAAAACCAAGACAAAAAAAATTAGTCATTTGCAGAAGTTCTGTGAAACATTTAGACCATGAGATGCTATCAATTTTTATTTATTTTTGAGACAGGGTCTTGCTATGTAGTTCAGGCTGACTTCAAGTTCTTTATGTAGCCCAGGCTGGCCTGGAACTCACAGCAACCCTCTGGTCTCAGCTTCAGAAGTGCTGGGATGACAGGCATGCACCACCGTGCTACCCATTATGAATTTCTTTTTTCTTTTTAAGCAGGGTTTCACTGTATGGTGCAGGTTCACCTTGAACTCACTTTGTATCCCAGGCTGGCCTTGAACTCACAGCAATCCTCCTGCCTCAGCCTTCCGAGTGCTGAGATGACAGACATGTGCCACTGCGCTTGACTGGCACTATGAATTTTTAAACAACACATCAAATGAACATAGGCAAACATGGGAATGTAGCTGTTAGTCTGTCTAAATAATAAATTCAGGTGTGTGTTCCTGTGTGTCAGACATAGAAGGTTGGTGACGCTATGCAAGGGAAAGGGAGAAGAGAAGTTTGGCTGAACAGTCATGATAGGAGAAAATGAAGCCTGTGAAAAGGAAGAGGTGAGAACCCGGAATGAGGTGGGCTAAACAGCAGCCCCTGTTGGTTCATGAATGTAGGAATAACCTTCTGATAAGTGAGGCATGGACCATTTTGTGGGGCTGAGGAGAGATAAGGAGAGGAAATGGCTGTGAAGGCAGAACCGGAGCGTGGACAACCATGCGTGAGCCACACTGGTGCTGTGTCAGACTGATGTCTCGATACATGTGGAAGAAGAGCTGTGGTGCTACATGACTCAAAGATCTGAATGCTGAGAGAGAGGGAAGAACCGGAGGTAACTCCAGGGTGATCTCAGAAGAAGATGTGGTAAAATCAGCCATTCAGAGGAAGTTTGCCAAAATAAAAATTTACGCATGGCAAAGTGGCAGTTTCTGCTAGGTTTGCTGATAGCTGAAGAAAACGCCTCATTGCTTTTTGTGTTAGAAATAGTTATGTAACATGCTAATCTTATTTACTCTTGTGTGATTGCACCCGATAGGTCCCTTTATACTCCATTTAACACAACTTCTACTTTTGTTCAATATTAGAGTCAAGACATTTGAAGTTTGTACTGCTTTTTGGGCTGCATTTTATTTATTTAATGAGTGTAAGTGGTCCCTGTTTCAACTGGAGCTCCTGTATCCACTTCCTGTTCCTTGATAGCTTTTGTTTGTTTGTTTCCATCATGGCTTTTGAAGGAAGTGCCTGGGTTTGATTCAATTTAGCATACTGTTAAAGTATAGTGAGTTAGAATGAAAGTGTTTTTCATGTTTTTTGTTTGCCTTCTTAAAAAAGGAGCTAAAAACAATATCCACATGAGTACTTCTTTGATTTTCATGCTTTTAATGGAATGTGGTATGTGGGTCAGGGCTTGGCTGGTGTGAGAGCCAATGTGGCTTTGAAATTAAGACTTGCTACAGGCCTGGTCTTGGTCAGGTTTATTTCCTCTTAAAGAGAGAGCTTAAACATAAGCTCTCTCAACTATGAAAAGGAGATAATTGTGCTGTTTCTTGCCTTATGGGGTTGAAAGAATTAAGGAAATATGTGCAAGGGCTTAACATAGTGGTTGGCACCTAGTAAGTGTTCAGTAAATAGGGATTAGTAGTCTGATATTATTGGAAATGGAACTATGTAAGGTCTACAATGAATTGCAGTGATTACCAATTTTAATTATTTAGACAAGAATAAAGACATAATTAAAGGAGAAGGTAAGAAATAAGATTCACTTGCTCTAAATTTCTGTTTCTTAGTTTTGTGAACTTGGCAAGACTTTATCTCTTTGTGCCATGAAGAAATAAGTACTCTGTGGCTTGCCTTACAAGAAAATTACAAGGATTAGTGAATTTATATTGAGTTGCTGAACTTTGATTGCAAAGTGGGAAATAATTTTTACAGCTGGTATGCATCAGGGTTAACATGAATCCAGGCACAATTACTGGACTTAGAATCTTTTTTTATTCCTGCCCCTTTTTATGAAACCTTTCTGTGTGAGCCTCTGTTTTGCCTCCCCTGGATTCAACAGGAGAAAGCCATGGGGTGAGAAGACTGGATCCTCCGAGTGCAGCACAACAAACAAAGTCAGTTTTTTCTTTTCTTTTTTTTTTTTTCTTCTGATCTAAGCAAATTCCCCCAAACCTTACTTTTCACTAGAACAACCTTAAGCAACCAGTAGTGTAGGAAGATTATCATAGGCTGGTGGTACAAATGAAGCTCCTCTCTTTAAGCAAATGATCTCTAAGAGTGGGCAGGTGGCCCGGTGATAGAGCTCTTGCCTTGCATGCACAAGGCCTGGGTTCAATCCCTAGCACCACCACAAAAGCCCCCAAAACTTGTCTAAATGCAGTCCTCAGGACTCATGAAGATAAGAAAACCTAGCAAATCAGAAACTTTGTATCTGTGAATGGGGACTAAAGTGTACTAAGGAACAGGCCCTTGAGTGAAGTGTCCAAGACAAATGAAAAGGAAAAGCAGCACTTAATATCACACAAGATGACAGCTGGATTGTTTTATGATGTCCATGTCCTTATTCAAAAGAAGTGAGCTTTTGTGCTTACTATTAAGAAGATACTCCCTGTGATTTTCTATGTCTTTTTTTGTTGTTGTTTTGCAGGCAAGTACAGAAGTGAAAGTTTTACCCAATGTTTTCTAAACTGTAGCATTTTGAAAGCTTCAGTACAAAAGATAGCTTTTTGTTGTTTTATTTTTTGAGACAAGGTCTCACCATGTAGTTCAGGCAGGCCTTGAACTCACTGTGTAGTCCAGGTTGGCCTCAAGCTCTTGGTAATCCTTCTCCACTGCTTTCTGAGTGCTAGGGTAACAAGCGTGTGCCACTATGGCTGGCAAAAGACAGCTTTTAGTTTTGTGTGTTTCCCATGATACCAGATGGAGGGATGGCTTATGCAAAGAATCAGCATCCAGCCTGAGAGCAAAGACTTTTGAGTCAGACTCCCTGCGACTGAATCCAGGCTTGATTTCTTAGCTATGTACTTTTAAGCAGTTTTCCTGACTACTCTGTACCTGTTTCTAAATCAGTTTCCAGGAAATTAAATGAGTCACTATGGGACTCTCAACTCTCTGCTTCTGAATCTCATAAAAAAAAAAAAAATGTGATTCTGTTAGCAGATCTTCTAAATACCCATCTTTCCTCACACTCTCACTTCCCTGCATCACATGACACCCCTGGCAACCCCTTCTACTGTTTTCTTGTCTCCTTGTGGGTCTCCATGCCCAGGTCTCATCTCCTGGTGCCTTTGATCCAATACCTATAACACATGTAGCCCTTTCCCACTTAGAACCTTCTCCTACCTGATCCCTTTCTACTACCATTTCCCTGCTTTCTTCAAACACCTGGTCTGCTAGGAGCATACCTTTGTCTCTTCTGTATTCACCCCAGTCTCCTCTCTTTTCCAGTACAGCGAGTTCTTTCTTAACTGAAGGCATCATGTACCCCACTGTCCTCACCAGCGGATATTCCACCTTTGGGAAAAGAGAAAATTTGCCTTTCTTAGTGCTCTATTCTATGAGTGGATGATTGAATTGCCATTGTCTTGTATCTTTTCTTGTTCCTAAGACAAAAATACCCAACCCCCAAAGTTAGAGGAAGAAAGTTGTATTTCAGCTCACAGTTTGTAGGGGTATCAGTCTGTAGTCGGCTGGCTCCAAGACAGGATGTCATTGCAGAGGAGAGAAGAAATAGTTCTTGGCAGAAAGTAGTGAAGGAGCACCACCACCATCAAGAGCAGCAGCAGAAGCAGCAGCAAGCCTGCCTTCCCTCTCTCCTTTTATAGTCCATCCAGGCTTCTGCATGTTGATTGATGCCATTCTTACCCAGAGTGGGGCACCCTCAATCCCAGCCTCACACCCTTAACGGTGTCAACCCCTCCTTTCTTTTGTCTTTTTGAGACGAGGTCTTGCTATGCATTTTAGGTTGGCTTTGAGCTCACTTTGTTGCCTAGGCTGGTCTCAAACTTGTAACAATCCTCTTGCCTCATCCTTCCGAGTGCTGGGATTACAGGCGTGTGCCACCATGCCCAGCTATCAGTATCATACTCTTAATGCACATCTAAACACTCTACTTCAGCCACCTTTGAATCTCTTCACCAATGACCACATGAAGCTTGGGGAGGCATCTAGATACAAGTCATAACATTGTGTGACTCACAGAGGATATTTCTGTCATCTGTCTGAGATACGTGATATAAATTTTGCCATATCTCATTTTCACCATCCTAGATCAAATATGTACCCAAACTGCAACCCAGAACCCACTTATTTATCACAAAGTGTCAACACAGCAATTGAATGTCAGATGCTCAGCTTCTGGGACATCTTGGCTAGTGTGTCAACAGAGAGGGCTCTCTGCATGACACTGTGACACCCATGCTAGAGGTTCACCATCATTGTACTAGGCATTCTAATATGTGTTGAATGAACAGAATGAACATTTTCACCGACTCTAACCCTATTTTATTATTCTTATTTATTGAGTCATTGAATAGATAGCTATGGAAATGTTTAGGTTGGCTTACCACTGGTGGTACAGAAGTGAACAAGAAGACTATTCCATCCCTTTTTGGAATAGTCTGTGTCGTGAAGGAAAGATAAATTACACACATAATTACAGCTGTACTAAGTATTTGCATAGACAGTACAGGGGCCTTAACCCTTAACCCTGGAGGATGAGGATAGTCAGTGTGGATTTTCATTAGGAAGTTAGGTTCTACCAGGAAAGCCATTAACTATTTGTGAAGTCAAGGGTAATGGTAAGAGGAGGACAGTATGTTCAAGGCAGAGTGACTAGCATGCACAAAAGTCCTGGGGAAGTCAGGAGTGGGAGGCTGAAAGAAGAGCCAAGGTGCAAGGAAAGAAGTGGGGCAACAGGTGAGGTCACTAAGAGGCAGGCAAGGGCTAGCTTCTGGGCTTCACCATTCAGTTTGATATTCCTTAACATCATGACTGCCAAGTCTGGACATGGGATTACTTGCCCCATGTTTTACTATATACCATACATCTCTATCCCTGTAAAAACTCTCTTTGCTTTGCCCTCAGTTTAGTGTGATTGCATTGATTAGACAGGAGGCAAATCTGTCATAGTAAAGAGGGTTTTGCAGTGATAGACCTGTGGTTCATATCCTTTGTCATTAGGATGATGAATCAACTTCATCATCTTGCTGGTTGATTTTGGCAAGTTACTTAATCTCTCCCAGCTACCATATGAAAATGAGAATAGTAATCTTTACCATCATGGATCTTGTAAAATGTAATCAACAAATGCAGGAGAAGTGCTGAATACCAAATTCAGGATGTATGAATTGCTTCTTGTATGGCCACATATCTTGAAGAGCTCTTGGAGCCCCAGGGGAGTAGAAAACAGAGTACTTCCAGCCCCCTTGTCTGTGTTTTGGGGGTGACCTGTTTTACTATTTTCTTAGGGTATAACACAAATCTTTTTTTTCCTCATTCCTTATTTTGCTCTCAAGACCATTTGATTCTATGTCTAGTCCTTCTCTTAGGAAAACTGCCTGTTTTTAGGTTTTCTACTAGCATCTTTGACAATCACTGTTATAGTTTGTGTTTGGATGTCCTCCCAAAGCCTCATGAGATCATGGGAAGTGGGCCCTACGAAGGCAACTGAATCTAACATTTGTGATTGGTTCTTTGTCTAGTGCTGGGATTGACAATGTGAGTGCTGCACGTACTGAGGGGCAGAAGGTCAGCATAAAATATAAGGGAAGGAAGGAGGCACGCTTTTCTCTTTTTGCCCTTATGCTCTTGCCACTTTTGCAATTTGCTGCAGCCGCCGTAAATAACTATCCTTGTGCCATATGCCACTCTGCGTTGGAGCCAACTGATTATGGACTGAAACCTCTTCAGCTAAATAAACCTTTCCTTCCTTAATTTTGGGTGTCAGGTATTTTGTCCCAGTAATGAGAGAAAAGTAACCAAGACAATTGCTCTTCATGTTTTTCTGTCCCACCCTATATCCTCACTCAGCCCGTTTTTACCTGTTCTAGACTCTGTACTTTTTCTTGCCGTGGCAACTGGAATCCAATTTTTTGTGTTTCAATTATGCATTAATCTAGTTCCAGATCATTGAATTACACTAGATAGGTGATGCCATGTACTCCTTTCCCTCCCCCTGACCTACTGGCTTTGGAGCCATAATTTGCTTTGGAGACTTGCTATCAGGGGAAACAAACTATGCTACATCCAGACTCATTTCTGGCCTTCTCTTGGCCTAATGCTCTATGTGTACAGATTTATGCTATTGCCATATTCATTTCCTTCTGAATGAGAAGCCTGATACTTAGCTTCCCATCACCATTTCTGGATCCACATATTGAAACAGAATTGTATCTCCATAGGCCTTGTTTTGTGTGTACTTTGGTCAGCTTGCACACTTAAAAGTTACTGCATCATATTTGCCTTCTCCATTGAATTATGCAATCTCTGAAACAACAGTTCTTAATTATCTCTGTGACTCCAGCATTTTGTTCAGGCTGTGCAAGCTAGAAGACCTTTAATTAATGGTTATCAAAATTCATTGGATGTTGCCACCTCCAGTGAGTTAGGTCAACCTTGGGAAGAGTAGGGCACATGGCTGCCAGAAGGCAGCAGGGACCTGGAAACAATTTGGGAGACAAAATTTTAGCCTCACATTATTTGGAGACAGTTCCATGATCAGATGATAGAGTCAACAAGGCGGCTTCTGTCTGCTGGGTGGGGATCTTTCCGGTTGTCTTTATAGGAACAAAATCAATGTATTCACAGTTTTCCTCTTCCTTTGACCTATGAAAAATAAGCCTATATCTTCTGTTCAATATCCTGTTTGCTCTCTTCCTAAAGGCGTGGTACTTTGTCTAGTTGAGTGAGAAGCTAAGGACATCTATTGTTTAACTGCTTTTCTAACTTTCAGCTGCTACAAAGTGTTTTCTGCAAAATGACCAAGTTAGTGTTCTCTCCATGTAGATCACAAATTCACAATGGGATAATTTTGCCTGCTTCCCTAAGGAGCAAAATTTGGAGGCTTGGGATTATTGGTATCATCCACTTGAGATTTCCCATTAACTCTTTAGTGATGAACCATCCTCTCACACCCACTAAAACTAAAACTAAGATCACTAAATTTAAAAAATAAATCCAGGGCAAGATCCCCCTTAGTATAAAATCATCTCTATCCTCTTTTTTTAAAAAAAATTATTTTAAAGAGAATAAAACCAAGCAAACTAAAACAGAATAAAGCCAATCAAAACAAACCAGTGTAAGTGCAAGTGACTTAGGACTTCAAAACAATAGGAAATCAACAGTGGTTACCATAATGCCTCTTGTTGTCTTCAAAATAGCTGCCTCTCACCAAAGTGCCTCTCACCTTTAACACAGGTAATCAGGGCTCGTGGCAAGGTCCCCAGTACCATCAGACATAATAAAGGCAAACAAAATAAAGCAAAGTAGAACTAATAAAAACAAAATAATGAATGCAGTAAAGGATTTCAAAACAAGATAAAAGTAAATCCAAAATGGCTACTGTAATGTACCTTGTTTTCTTTGAAATAGCTCCCTGTCTTAGTTTCTTTTTACTTGTTGCTGAGACGAAATACCTGAAGCCCAAGTTGGGAAAGGAAAGATTTATTTCTTACAGTTTTTGGAGGTTTTAGTCCACACTCAGTTGGCTCCAGGGCAGGCGGGCATGGCTGGGCAGCAGTTCATGGTGGCTGTAAACAGCAAGCAGGAACCAGAAAAGAGAGCAAGACACACCTTCTTCCTGCCATTACATCACATCCTGGCTCCACCCCTTTGTGGCTATAGCATTGACACCATCAATCCAAGCAGTAGACAATGAACCAATCACAAATGCACAATGCAAACTCATGAGGCCTGGGGACACAGACATAAACCATGACACTGCCCATGCCATTGAATATAATAAAATCAAACAAAACAAAACAATAAAACCCAGCCCAACAAAACAATGAGACTGATACAGAACTCCAAAACAAGGTGATAGGAAATTAACAATGGCTACCACCTTCTGAAGGAAATCCTCCATAGATGCTACATTGTGTATTGTTATCCTCTGAATAGATGATCAGACAACCAGCTTTAGACCTGCAAAGTCAGTGAAACACTAAGCACAAGAATTAAATTGTATTTTACCTCAATAGCTATCATTGCAGCCTGGGTTTCTTCAAGGCATGTGTGAGTGGGGTTGGCTCTTCTTGTTTCCTAGAAGGGGCTGGCATCTGGCTCTCCCGCCCATGGGACCAATTCTCAAGGAGGGCTTGGTTCTTCTATCTCCACCCTCTTGAGTCATCCCAAGATTATACTTGCCCATTGAGTCATAGACCTCTGAGTCTTCCACCAGTTTTGAATATTCTGCTAGCTCCACCTATCACTGTGTGCACCCCCTAAATAGTGGCTATCTTGGAACATCACTCTCTTGGTCTATCTGGAGACATTAACTTCCCAGTCACTCATCATGTATTACTAAATTGGTCTCTGTTTCTCATTTTATCCTCTCACCACACCTTTAACACAGTAACCAGGGATCTTAGCAAGGTCCCCAATAATCTATAGCATTTGCAAACATAGGGAGGAGGAAAAAAAAAAGAAATCACAAGGATCTATGTGGAGAGAGCACAAACGTGATAATTTTTCAGAGAAAACTTTGTAGCAGTTGAAAGTTAGAAAGACATTGGAGAGGGAAAGAGAGAGTAAATGGGCTCCTCTGATGTTCTTTAAGAAAAACAAATGCAGGTTTGATTCAGGAATAGACTGTCTCTCTCTTTTTTATTGTTCTGTCCCTCGCATCTGGCACAATGTTTGACATATGGTAAGTTCTCAGTAAATATGTATTTAGTTAATTCCTTATATATTATTTGTGACTGTTGGAATTACACTCTTACCAAAGATGATGTGCAGCTTTTAGTTCCTTTACTCACACTACTCACAGTATTATAGGTCTAAGTGAATGACGCTTTGACTCCTCGGTCTAGAACAGTGAGGGTGTTAATGGAGATCCAGCACACATGTAGTAATCTACCCCTACTTCACAGTCAAATGACCATACCTTCCTATGCCGTGCTAATTCAGGACCAAGGACAGCATCTCATGGACATGTCCCCACATTTTCATGCTGCTACTCCCATGCTTGTGTGATGTTAGCATCCTGGGCCCCTTATCTTTTCATTATTCCTGCTATGCAACTCTCTCAGTGGGATTGACTAGTGCCTTTTCCATTTCTAGACATGAAGTGCTAAGTACTATGGGAGGAAAATGACAAACACAATTACATAGTCTTGTCTCAGCACTACTAAGCTGTCCTAAAATCTCCTTTGTCTTCATTTTGCAGCCCAGATCACAGTGGTTACTTTAAAGCTGCATCACATTAGCCATTCACACCTTTGCCTTCCCTTTCAGTCTCAGTATGTGATTCAACCTCTTGCTTCCATGACAAATTGAAGTTTACAGGTTGAGAATTTCTTTTCAGTCTTTTTAAAAAACATTCACTGTCCACTTCCGGGAGAACATGGCAGATAGATAACAGTAGCTACGGAGGCTCTTTGAGATATCCAGCTTAGAATCCAGGAATGGTGTGGTGTGAGGAGTCGTAAGCAGGGGGAAGATATACCCTGCCAACCCAGGAACAAACTAAGCTGAGAGAAACAAACTGGAAATGCAATCCCGGTGCTATAACCAGAACAGATAAATCTCAGCATGGAAGCTGGAACCTGTGCCTCTGGAAATCACAATTTGAATTTCCTGTCGCCACTGCTGCATCCCTATCAGCACAGCAGGGAAAGAGACGCGAAAGCTCTGAGAACTGGAATCGGCAAATGGAGTTGAGAGCGGGACTGGTGGGGAGCCCTGCATCGACCTGCAGTGAGTGAGAGGAACAGAGACCCTTCCATAGACTAGGAGGCTCCAAAAGAGGACATTCTGGGACTGGGCAGACTAGCCGGAATAGGACACTACAGTGACTTTAGTCACATATTCCCCTCTCAAGCCAGATTGGTGCGGAGTGCTTGGCCTAGGTGATGGCGCTGGTGCAGAGTGCTACTGGGTGACGAAGACCCAGTAGGCTAGCCCAAACCAGGTCCCAGCACCTGGTGGTGCACCCTAGCAGTGGAGCCTTCACTAGATTGACCTGGAGGGGCGGGCCCAGCAGAGGCTACCCAGATCTGTGTCTCCCTAGTATACTGCAATGGGTGGGAACATTTAGCTGGCAGATTCAAACAAACTGTAACCAACAAAGAAAAAAACTGGGCCTCCTATATACGCTTGCATGGAGGGAACAAAAAGTATGGGAAAAGGGAGCAACAAGAAAGGGCCCTCAGTCCCCAATCCTGAGAACACTGATCCAGGAAAGGTAAATGCAAAGGAAAATGAGGACAGAAAACATGCAATATCAGACATAGCACCAATAGACATAAAGCGATATCTCTGGAGCCTCATAGACGAGTTCAAAAGTGAAGTATTGGGGCTGGGCGGCATAAGCACCTGCCTTGCAAGCAGGCAGTCTTGAGTTCGATCCCTAGTACCGATAAAAAGTGAAAAAAAAAAAAAAAAGAGCAAACAAAAGTGAAGTATTTAACAAAGTAAAGTAAGATATAAATAGAATAGTTAGAGAAATGCTAAGCACTGCCCAAGAAAAAAACAGATGGTGGAATGGAAGATCAGAAAAAAAGGGAGAATTGCTTGATGGAGAAAATAGAGAAAACATAGAATACGTGAAGCAGGTTCAAAGAGATTACCAGGAAACTAAAAACTCTATTGAAAGCTGGCATAACAGCTTGAAAGAAACTAAGGATAGATTATCTGAACAGGAGGGCAGATTTGTAATGTGGGAGCATGAAATGAAAAACTTCTTAAAAATAACAAGAAAACAGCAATAATACAAAGGCTAGAAGATGATAAGAGGATCTATAACTTAAGAATTAAGAACATAAAAGAAGTAGAGACACAAACACATGAACTACAAAAGCTATTCACAGAAATAATCCAAGAGAATTTCCCTAATCTAGCAAAAGGTAAAGATACTCAGATGTATGAGGCATACAGAACCCCAGCCACCTACAACCCAAACAGAGCTACACCCAGGCATATAACAATCAAAATTCCAGAAATCCAATATAAGAACAGAATATTAAAAGCCGTCAGAGACAAGAAACAGATCACTTACAAGGGAACACCCATCAGAATTACAGCAGACTTCTCGGCACAAACCATCAATTCACAAAGAGCGTGGGGGGAAATAATTCAAGCTTTGAAAGATAATAACCTCCAGCCAAGATTGATATATCCTGCACAACTGTCCCTAGAAATTGATGGAAAAACAAGGTGGTTCCAGGATAAAGAGGAACTAGGGGAATTTGCAACCACCAATTCAACTTTACAGAGAATACTGCAGGATAGTCTAAAAAAAAAAAATACCAAGATTCCAGAAACAGTGGCAGAGAGGCCACAATGAATGGAGCAGAAAGCGAAATGAAGAAGACAAACCGACAACTAATGACAGAAAAAGAGCTCCACAGAAATGAGGCAGAGAAGGCTGGATGGTAGCAACAGCTATTTTGGAGAAAACAAGACATCATAATAGCTAGTGCTGATTTAGTATCATCTTGTTTTGAAGTCCCATCAAGCTTTTGTTCTTCTGTCTCCACCAGTCTTAACATGTTGTATCTTATTGGATTTTATTATATGTGATAATATAAACAAAAACTTTTATAGACAAGGAGATTATACAGAAACCATTGATCATTTTCTGTTAGTTGATTCTAAATACCCTGTAATACTGTCATTCTCTTGGTTTTACTTTGTCTTGATACGTTTGATGCTAGAGTATAAGAAGTTATACTCAAAGATTTCAAGAAAAGAGACACTATGGTAAGTACTTTAATGTCAGGATATCTTTTGATGAAACACTATTTTGCTTAAATTGTTATGCTTTGACCTGCGCTGTTTTGTTGTTATGCCCTCCTTTATCTCAATCTCCTTTTTTTATTACTTACTTTTTTATCTTTTTAATTAAGGGAAAAATAAAAAATAGCAGCATATATTATAGTAACCCACTTTGATTTCCTATTAACTTGATTTGAAACCCTGTATTGCTCTCACCATCTTGTTTTGACTGATTTTACTCTATTCAGTTTTGCTTGATAGTACCAAGTTCAAAAGTATAGGCAACAACTGTGAAGACAATAAGATTCACTATGATGCCCATTCTGGTTGACTATTAACTTCTTATGAAGTCCTGTAATGTCTCCAATGTTTTGGTTTTATTGGTCTTATTCTTTACTGTTTTGTTCAATTTTATTATAACTGATGATATAGGCAATTCTTTTTAAAATAGCAAGAGGCAGTTTGATAACCATTGTTGGTCACCTTGTATTTTGTTTTTACATTATGTACTATGTCCATCCTTTTGATTTGAGTGATTTTGTTTTGTTATGTCACATTTGGTTTTATTGTCTTCAAAACAAGTAATAAGAACTGTGGGAGTAATAAAACCCAAAATGTGTAATTGTCATTGTACAAAAGAGAGGAAAACAAAGTGCTCTAAAGGATATAACTGCATGTATATTTAAGTGTATAAGATAGATAACCATATTACTGAGTTTTGTTGGATCATTGAACAGAACTGTTTGCAGTCTCACTGTTTGAATGTCCACTTTGTATGCTTTAATTTTGTAACTTGAACAACGATTTCTAAGATGACAATATGTAATCTATTAACTAGTGATTTC